TAGACATCACACTGTATTCCATAGGAGAAGGGAGCTTGGGAACCCTGCAGCAGGGTGGGGCAGGGTGAACCAGGGTCAGACTCACCTTTTCTGTCCCTTGAGAATGTAGAACTCAGTTCCCACCAAGCCCCCAGAACCCAGATAGGGGTGTGTTTGGCAGCATTGCTTCTTTGGTCTGGATGAAGAAAATAAGTTTCTTTTTGGCACCACTTTTCCAAACCAGAGCTACATCATAAGATACAGTGTTTAGCCCAGTCCCCTAGGGGCCTGCAACAGTGAAGTCTAGGTTCTTCTTTGGGTTGGTTGGCAAGATTGCAACTAGCCGGTGCTCATACTGAAGTTTCATTTCTACTAGGATACTCTTTGTGTCATTCTTAGCAACTTTTGTATTATCTTAAACACACCAGCATTGAGATGAGATGCCCTTTGCTGGCCATATAGTTTAGGAACACTAGACACAGATATACATAGAAGAGGGACTGATCCCCAGCCCTGCTGTGCAGAGCTGGAGTATTCGCCTCAGAGGTGGCAAGAGCACATGAGACAGGAAATGGCTTGGCACCCTTTATTCTGCTTCTGCCGGTCCACATGCTGTCTTCCTCTGTATGGGCCTGATTCATAGCACACTGGCTAGAGAATGGCCGCACACCTCTCATACCTTCCATGACTACCTTTTACTCTGTGGGCATATTGAACTAACATTTAGGGATTTGGATTTTCTTTAACTTTTTGGAGTCCTGAGGATGGTTCTCTCCAGGGACTTTCCTACTTCTGCTCTTTGTCCTGTGAAAGCCTGCCAAGAGAGCAAGGAGTGACTGCCCACCCTGCCCATGCCTTACATGGACAGTCAGATATGGTATGCTGTCTGGAAGAGTATGGGATAACTGGCTACAGGTGGCCCAGGGCTGCTGGGCACATCTGCTTTTAGATCCTTATTGGCTGTTTGTGTGGCCCAGGTTTTGTCATGTGATGATAAGCTGGGGAGAGTTAGTCTCTCCATTGTTAATGAACTACTGGGCACCAGGGCTGTTCTTTTGCACCAGAGTACTAGAGGAAGCAAAGCAGAGGAAATCCCTGCCTCAGGGCTGAGCAGCTCAGAACAGGTGGAAAACATTGATGCTTACTCTGTATAAGCAAAAACCCAGCAGGGATGAGGAATGGGGAGCTCTGGGGGCAGTGAGTGCAAAGGCCCTGAGGCAGGTTCGCTCCCCAGCAATCTGAGAGCAGTGGAATGAGCAGTAAGGAGATGAATCTGAGGGAGCTGTTAGGACTTCTTCACTGTAGAAATAACTTTTCAATATTGCTAATGGGTGCCCTTCTTTAGGCTCAGTGGGCCGAGCGCTTTCAGTACATGCTTTTAGTTCTGGTGACTTCACTGAAAGCTGGGAATGATTATTTCATTTTATCAGTGAGGAGCCCAGGACAACTGGAATGTCAGGACCAGAAATTTCACAGAGCAATGGCAAGTCCTCCAGGATGAAAGAGAAGCTAGTATGTCCAGAGTAAAGAGTGACAAGTGGCACTTCACCAGAAAATAGGGTGGGCACAGTGAGGACAAGAGCTGTTTGCTCTCCTGCCTGTGGTTCCTGCTGGCTGGTCCAGTTGAGGAGCTATAGCCCTTGGGCAGCTTCCTCTGCCTTCCTGGGCTCCCTTGCCCTCTACATCCTCTAGCAAGAAATGCCCAGCTTGGGAGCTTGGTGTAGGTTTCTTGGGCATGTTGTGATTTGAGAGCTAGCTATGCATGCAACAAGAAGCTCGTGAGAGTCCAGCATGTCTCTGGATCTTGTTGGGATTGGATGGCCCCTTTCTTTCCAGCCACTGGGATTGCCTGTGGGAACATAGCCATATACTGTCTGAGCTGTAAGGATTTATCAGACCCTCTTAGGGGCTCAGAACTGGGCTGGGCCAGGCTGGATCAGGCTTATAGGCAGGGTAGATATCATACTGTTTTCCTGCATCACTGTCATTTTAAGATTTCTCTTATTTGGGCCTGGGGATGTAGCTCAGTGGTTAAGATCACATACCACTATTGCAGTGCTTTGGAGTTTGGCTCCTAGCACATCAGTGGTGGCTCGCTACCTCCTGTAACTCCTCCAGCTCCATCGGATCTGATGTCCTCTGCTGACCTTTGTAACTACAGTACTCATGCAAATACCCCCACTCCCATATACATATAGTCAAAAATTGTTCAAAACTCAAATTGTAAAAAGCTGCTATTAATAAAACTAACAAAGGATGATTCCTGGCTGCCAGAGAGAGAAATAGCCCACTCTTACCACTTTCTGGGTCCTTCTTGGTGAACTGTTCTTTGCATAGGGACAACTAGAGGATCGGCTCTAGAAGTTTTTGAAGGCACTTTTTTTTTGTGTGGCTGAATTCCAGTTTAAACTAGAAAATTAGAAGACTATTCTTACAGTTCATTCTTACATTCCCTTTTCTTTTTAAGCCTTGGTACCATTTAATTGAGGTTTATGGAGAACTCATACTTCATACCTTATGGAAGCTGTAAGTGAACTGTCTGAGCAGCATGCACTCTGCCCTTGAAATGAGCAGACTTCTGCCCTTAGCTGTGTGTTCCAGTGATCTGTAATCTGTGCTCTGGTTGCATGCCTTGTGCAGGGACTGGAGTAGCAGCCATCTGGCATTTTGCCGCACGCGCACTCGTGTGTGTGTGTGTGTGTGTGTGTGTGTGTGTGTGTGTGTGTGTGTGTGTATATGTGTGTATGTGTGTATGTGTGTAGGAGTGGAGTTGTCTCTATAATTCTTAAGGAGCAAAAATTTCTCATCAGCGCCTTTCTCACACTGTGCAGATCAGAACAGAAGGAAGTGCACTGGGTCTTCTGCAGTTGAGTTTCCTGCAGCAGAACACCCTGATACCAGATGGAGTGATGCTTCCATGAGCCTATAATGATGCTCTGGGTGTGCTGCCATTAGTTCTCAGGTCAGCCTCCACACAGAATCACTTCCACCTTTTCTCATGGGGATTTGAAGATCAAGGTAAACTCCCTGATTGGGAGAGCTTGGGAACGAGCCATGGGCTTGATGTTTGCAGGGATATATCATGGTTACATTGTTTCCAGGGGCCATTCTTTTATAAAACCTCAGTGATTCTGCACGTGATTCTTTGTAAAGATGACACAGGATCATCTTTCCAGGCATTTTTGTCTGATTTTCAGAGCTGGGTGTAGCATGTGCTTTTAGTCTCTTTGTGTCTGAAACCTGGCTCAGTGTCATTTGCTGTGTAACTCTTCCCAGTTAGGGTCACCAATTGAACCTCAAGTTTGTGCACTCCCAGCCTTCTGTATACAGGTAGGTAGGTGGTGTCAAGCTGCAGGTGCACCCGGGCCCTGGAGCCTGGATTCTGGGCACCTTCTACTCCTGACAGCTGCTTAATCTTATTTACTCTCCTAGAGCCTCTGATCTTACTAAACAAGCAATAACGATATGAAGGTCCCATGACTCCACACCCCGTCCAGCATACGTGCGTGTCACCACCTGCCGTCTCTCTGCACACTTGCTCTATTTACAGTTTGTGTGTGATTCCCACCCCCCAGGGCCTCTCTCCCCCAAGTTCTGCTTTAAGATGTGGTTGGGCTTTTCCAGGCTAGACTACACAATCAGTGTTCTCCATCCATGTCCCATCGTCTCTGCATGCTTGCCCTATACTGCAGTTAAATTGAGAAAGGAGCCCAGGCTAGGCATGTTCTCAGAGCTGTGTTTTCAGGGCTGTGTGAGCATGTGGCACAGCACCCCATACCATTCAGTCCCATTCCCACCATGTCAGCCACCCCAGTATTTCCAAAAAGGCAGCAGCTGCTGAGTATGATCAAGTGTCCAGCTGTGCCCAGGGACCATGAGACACATGCCCAGGGCTAGTCTCTCCTCAACTACTGCATGAATAGGCTCAGTAGCCACCAGAAAGGTGGAGGGTGGCTCAAGCCATGAATCCTGGGTGCCTAAACAGCTTAGGTTTCCAGCCATCAGCAACTCCCTTCCTGTGCAATGCCTATGATTCCACAGTGCAGAGAGTCCAGGAAAATGGGGGAGGCTTACAGGGGAGATGTGTGTGAGCTCCAGCTTATTTTAGGAACCTCTTGCTATAACACACCCTGTGTGACCAAGGCAATTACAGCTGCCAGTCAGCAGATTGTGGCTCGTGAATCTCCACGTACAGCCAGCTGCCAGGGCCCTAATTAATAACAGCAGCAGCTCTTCCTGTCCACATTGTTTCATGACATTCCATGTATAGTGCATGCAAGTTAGGTCCAAAGATCCAAGATTCTGACGGTTATTAGATGCCTATGTTGCCCAAGGATCTTGTGCAGTAAGAACAGGTCCTGAGCCATCCCTATACTTCCCCTTTCCATTGAGCTGCATATTAGATTTTAGCACATCCCAGAGTGTTGATAGGATGGCAGGTTTATCGGTGACATAGGGGATTTAATGACAGTTGGCACCTGCATGCTCAAAAATGTTAGCTGTATGAGATGTAAGTACAGAGGAGCAGTTGATTCTTGGGGATTCATGAGCTGAGCTGGGCTCCACATTCAAAATAATGAGATTAATGATTCAAAGAATGAAGAATCCCCAAGATTCTCTATAGATGTGTGCATGTGTTTGTGTATATATGTGCAAGTGCCTGTGTGAGTATATGTGTGTGGTGTCCCACATGGGTAGGTAAGCATGAAGCTGGGGTATAGCTCAGTGATAAAGCACTTAGTAGCATTCAAGAGACCCTGGGTTCCATCCTCAGCACGACAAACAAAACCAAAAAGGCAGTAATGGTTCTAGGCAAATATGTTTGATACGTGACTCCTTTTTACTGATGCTCACTCTTCAGAGGATATATGGAGTTTTAGGACCCCAGTTGAGTTTGCACCTGTTTTCTATTGAGTTGCATTGTAGATTCACTCCTCTGTGGACATAGCATTGTGCCCACTGTGGTTCCTGGTATTCCCTTTGCTCCCTGGCTTATGACCTGTCTCTTGTTTTCCCTACAGTGCTACACACACAGGGCCCAGTGGATGGAAGCCTGTATGCCAAGGTGAGGAAAAAGAGTGCCTCAGATTCTGGCATCCCTGGCAGCCCTCAGGGCATGCCAGCCACCAGCAGTCCAGACCACGGTGACCACACCCTGTCAGTCAGCAGTGACTCGGGTCACTCTACTGCCTCGGCCAGGACTGATAAGACAGAAGAGCGTCCAATCCCAGGAGCACAGAGGGGCCTGAGCCCTCAGGAGAAAGCTGAGTTGGACCAGCTACTCAGTGGATTCGGCCTGGAAGACTCGTCGAGCTCCCACAAAGACATGACTGATGTGCGAAACAAGTATAGTGGGACGCGCCACGTGGTGCCAGCCCAGGTTCATGTGAATGGAGATACTGCCCTAAAGGACCGGGAGACTGACATTCTAGATGATGAAATGCCTCACCATGATCTGCACAGTGTGGACAGCCTGGGTACTCTCTCCTCCTCTGAAGGGCCACAGTCAGCCCACCTGGGCCCCTTTACCTGCCTCAAGAGCAGCCAGAACTCCCTCCTGTCTGATGGCTTTGGCAATGGTGTTAGTGAAGATCACCATGGTGTTCTTTCTCCAGACCTAGGCCTTGGTGTAGACTCTCTTTATGAGCGGGAGCGGATGTGTGGGGGCCGAGAGCCAAAGCAGCTGCAGCCCCTGCTGAGGAAGCCCTCTACACCCACCCCACCGCAGGCCTATGGGCAAAGCAACTATTCCACCCAGACCTGGGTGCGTCAGCAGCAGATGGTGGCTGCTCACCAGTACAGCTTTGCCTCAGATGGGGAGGCCAGGCTGGGCAGCCACAGCACAGTGGACCAGCCCCAGCCCCATATCCCAGTTACTCCCACACGTGGAGCCAGCAGCAGGGTGGCTGTGCAGAGAGGCATCAGCAATGGACCAAATCCCCCTGACACACAGCCACTCTGTTCTGGTAAAACACTCCAGCCCAGATTTGCAGAGGACAGAGTCATGAATGGAGGCCATCAGGATCTGAACACTAGTCATTCCCCAGGCTCTCCTACTCTGGATATTGACCAGTCCATTGAGCAACTTAACAGGCTGATCTTGGAGCTAGACCCCACCTTTGAGCCCATCCCCACACATATGAATGCCTTAGGCATCTCTGCCAATGGCTCTGTATGTCCTGATGGTGTGGGAAATGGGCTCCGGTGTGGTGGCAGGCTGGACCCTGTGGAAGGCCCTGGCCGGAGCCCTGGCCAGCAAGGTGAGTTGATAAGATGTTGGGGTCAGGTAAGAGATTGTCTAGCTAAGAATTTGGGTTTTCTGAAATTCATTTCCTTTGCAGTTTCTACTCTACTAAGCTGTGACCTAGAATCCAAATGGTTCCTTGGGCACTATGGGAGCTTGGTAGCAATTTGAATGGTGGGAAGAAAGAAATGCAAAACTTGTGTATAAAGATGGTTTGGGACAGAGATTAGGCCTGTTAAAGACGAATATCCCTGTCTTATTCACACACTGGTCACATCTGTTTCGGAGTGCAGCAGGCCATTTGAGAACACCAGGTAGCTTGATCCATGCTCCTCTGCCACCTGGTAGCAATGTGATTCAGAACCTGTGCACAAATTCTCCCAGCCTCGGTTCCCACATCTGGAGAGTAAGTTTAGCAATACAGCTTTTCTCCTTTCAAGAATGTTCTTTTCGGAGGAGGGCTAGGCCTCTCAGTTACAATTGATGGGCTCTCAAGTCCTCCTTGGAGGAAAAAAGGTCTGATTAAGCAGTCAGGATGTGCAAACTGTCCTATTTACAAATGTATTGTCTGAGTTTTGAGACACCATTGGAGGGTGTTTATGGGTGGCAGTAGCCAACCTGTGTTAGAGAGAAGTTTGGCTCAAGAATGCTGAGGGAGACATAGAACAGAAAGCGAAGAGTGTGGAGTGGGCCCAGAGAAGCTCAGATAGGGCAGATCCAGGTTCCTAGGTCCTGAGAACATGATCTAGAGCCAAGACTATGGACCATGGGCCTAGGTACGTGTATTTGCTATACCCTCTGAAGCAGATGAGAGTTGGCCAGTTGCCAGAAGAGAAAACTCTGGGCCTTTCTACCTTAGAACCAGGAGAACTAGACACCATGACAAGACCTTCTTTGGAAGGCCAAGGTTAGTGGGAGTGGACGGTGACTTCTGACCAAGTCTCTGGGAATGTTTCTGCGTCAGTGTGATGAGGCCTGCTTTAGGATCCGGTTCCTATCAGATGCTCCCAGTGTTAACATGGGTCAAGAGGGTTTGAGAGCTGGTTGAGTCATTTAGTCTTTAGATGAGAAAGCAAGCTAAAGTGTATGACATCCTGAGATGTCAGCACTTTCAGATCTTGGGCAGCACATCCTGAGAAGGGGTCTGGGAGATGATGGAAGGAACAAGGCTTGGTCTGGAATCTGCACAATGTTATCCTTGGAGGAGACTGACCAAGGTGAGGTATCTATGTGTGGGTGATGTAGTGGATGCAGGAAGTGGCAGGTAAGATGGATCCATGGGTGTTACTAGGAACCATGACCTGGAGGACGAGAAAGATAATGCAAGAAGGCTTTTAGCCATCTTCTCCTTCCTCTCATTAGTGTTTTTCTGTGCTTCCCAGAGTCCATGAGCATCCCCCTGAGTTTGTGTGCTAGTGATGCTGATGGTAGAATCCCATGAGGATGCTAAATATTGCTTTGGGGTCCAAGCAGAATGGCTCAATTCATCTTCACAATACTCTTGTTTTAGAGCCTATCCCACCTTGTCATCATGTTTGTAGAGGTTAGTAGGTGATGTCAGATCCTGAGCTCACGTGGACCTTGTGGAATAGACCCATGGTTTCTGCCGTCTTTGGAAGATTGCAGCCTGGCTGATGTCTGGATCCCTCTCCAGGCAGGAGCATAATCTTGCAGCATGGGTCCTAGCTAACATCAGGGTTGCATGGACTGTCAGCTAGCTGGCATGCTGTCATTAAAGGATAGGGCTGCTGTGACTTTTCACTCATGCCATCTGTGGAGAGGAAACTCTATCCCAGTGTCTGATGATAAAAGGTGTGAAGAAAGCCAGATTACATTACCTGTCCTGTGCTGAGATCCATCATTAGACAAACAGCAGGATATTGTAGTTGTTTGAAGTGGCTAGGGCGGGGGTGGGGGGATGTGGTGTTGACAGAATGAAGACTTCCTATCTGGTATAGTTCCCAGGCTGTGATACAGCCATCAGCAACCCCAGCCATCATGACAGAAAGAACAGCAGTGACTAAGGCCTCAGGCCAGGTCAGTTCTTGTAGCATGAGCTCATTGAATTGAATATACTAAGGAAATTCAGAGTTCTAAGGTTTGAATGGAAACAAAAGTCTGTGCAACATTTGTTTAATGAGTGTTCTTGGAAGATGGTACTTGGGATAGTAAAATAAAAGGCTTTTCCTCCAGGAACAAAATCTCTCCTGAGGTTTGGAAAAGTTTGCAGGTGTCTTATGGTGTGTGCAGGGAGGGGCATAGGACAAGGTTCAGGTGACTGTTTTCTTGTTGACTGAGTACTGTCCTGAGGGATTCCCCTTTCCTGTAGTAAAGCAGGGTCAGGGACTAGAGAGCATCATGTTGTGGCTTCCACCCTCTCATTGGCCATTATTAAATTACTGGAGAAACAGATGATGTTGGTAACTGAAGTTTTATTTTAATCTTACCCTTTAGTTTCTTTTCTTATAAAAATAAGTATAATTTTTAAATTAAATATTTTTTCTACTTAAACAGTAGATTAGTAATTTATTAATCCATCTATGTTTAACAGGCATCTTGGGATATTGTCAATCCTTTGGAACCATAGTGGTATCATAAGAATACACACACACACACACACACACACACACACACACACACACATATATATATATATATATATAAAAAGAAAGA